TGTTTCCCTCTATTCCCAAAGAATGTTATGATTGCCTTTACTACTTCCTACACCACTTCCTACGTTTCGGACCTGTTTCCTTCCCTTCCCATAGCATTTTAGGATGGCCCATACCCTTATCTAATCGTCATAAACAGTTCCCACACTCCGGACAGCTCGTCTTGACTACTTGCTTCACCACTTCCTACGTCACGGACCTGTTTTCCTCCCTTTCCATATCATTTTAGGATTGCAGATACCCTTATCTAATCGTCATAAACAGTTCCCACACTACGGACAGCTCGTCTTGACTACTTGCTTCACCACTTCCTACGTCACTGACCTGTTTTCCTCCCTTTCCATAGCATTTTAGGATTGCCCATACCCTTATCTAATCGTCATAAACAGTTCCCACACTCCGGACAGCTCGTCTTGACTACTTGCTTCACCACTTCCTACGTCACGGACCTGTTTTCCTCCCTTCCCATAGCATTTTAGGATTGCCCATACCCTTATCTAATCGTCATAAACAGTTCCCACACTCCACACTGCTTGCCTTGCTTCCTTCACCACTTCCTACGTCACGGACCTGTTTCCTTCCCTTCCCTTAGCATTTTAGGATTGCAGATACCTTAATCTAATCGTCATAAACAGTTCCCAAACTCCGGACAGCTCGCCTTGAATACTTCCTTCATCACATCCTACGTCACGGACCTGTTTCCCTCCCTTCCCATAGCATTTTAGGATTGCAGATACCCTAATCTTATTGTCATAAACAGTCCCCACACTCCGGACTGCCTGCCTTTACTACTTCCTTCATCACTTCCTACGTCACGGACCTGTTTCCCTATATTCCCATCGCATTTTATGATTGCCTTTACTACTTCCTTCACCACTTCCTACGTCGTGGACCTGTTTCCTTCCCTTCCCATAGCATTTTAGGATTGCAGATACCTTAATATAATCGTCATAAACAGATCCCAGACTTCGCACTGCTACCCTTGACTACAATGTATCGAGTAATCTTCAGTATAATCTTTGCTCAATATTAACAAGTGATGTTTTTCCTTTTGTACTGTATTTGTAATTTGCTAGTATACTGTGGGTAGTTGGCTTATGAACACGACATGCTACAACTTCAAGCCTTTTGTTTACTTTTTCCTCGTTATTTAATTCAGCCAACATGGTTACCTATCAACCCATGAGACTAATGTTAGAAAAATGTGATTTTCAGTTTCATTTTTCTACGTAATTAGATTTTTGTTGGCAGTTCTAACTGCAGTAAACTCGTTTTTAGGCCAGAAATAAACTATTTACAACATTTGAAGAAAATCGTCGGAGCCGTTTTCGAGATTTTTTTTACAAGCAAGCATACATACATACAAGCAAACATTGCTCGTATTAGAGTATAGGATAAATAAGGCAGCTAAAATGATTTAAAAGTGTATTGTTCTTATTTTTAACTCTAGTTCCCGAAAACCCGGCATTTCACAAACTCGGCACCCCTCCAGTCCACATTACGCCGAGTTTGCGGGACTCTACTGTACAATGTGAAAAGTACAAAAACGTTGTTTTATATACACTCTTGTAGACGAAGGACAGTAGAATTCAATGTTGTTAGGCTGGTCACACAAATAGAAGCTTTTGATTTTTCAAAGCTAAAGGAACAGGAACACTTGTCATTATCTAACCTAAAATGGCGGCGTCGTCGTGAGTTTTTGTCCGATAACAAAGACGAAGTGTGGGTTTTATCCCTAATTTTACAGTGTAATGTTTGTTTTAGTTTATTATTTTGTATTAGGCGAAATATTTATGCATTATTTTGCATAAATATTTATACATGTGTGATCCAAAATAGGATAAAAATTTAGTGAAGTTTTGTGGGCTATAACAGCTGATCAGTTGTTTAGTTTACATTTTTGCTTTTGTGAACACCAAATATTCTATTACTTATCTTATTTAGTTATTCTTATATAGAATGACTAGCTGTACCCTCGGGCTTTGCCCCGTTTAACTTCACAAGTGAGCTCGTTCGCATGGCTTAATCACGTCCTGGTTGAAGCTCGTTCGCTACGCTCACTCACCTTTAAGTTGGAGCTCGTTCGCTCCGCTCACTTGCCTTCAGGTTAGCTCGTTCACTACGCTAACTCGCTTCCAGGTTGAAGTTCGTTCGCTACCTTTTGGTTGCAAATTGGCTGTAGTCATAAATTAAAAAAATAATAGTGCTGCACCCTGTTGGTAAACCTTGTAATTTTAATGCTATTGAACATCATAGAACAGAACCAACTTGTTTAATTGAAACAGCTGTTAAGAAATTCCTTTTAAATATGAAAAATCATAAGGTTAACATGGGAAACTCCAGAGCCACTGGGGCGGAGCCCGAAAGCCCGATCAGAATAAAAACTACTTAGTTTTCCTATTTAATTCCCAAAGAATCGGTGTACCGAATTTCAGCCTCCTAGGTAAATGGGAAGTGGAAGAATTAGTGATGAGTGAGTGAGTGAGTGAGTGAGTCAGTCAGTGAGGGCTTTGCCTTTTATATATTTAGAAGATATTATTGGTTTCAAAAAATGTATGGTTTTATCATATTGATTTATTAGTAGAGGGCATTTGTGGATCTATCAACGTGTAGTTGAAGAAATTGACGTTTTTCCAATTTTTCCGTATTATTGCTATTAAATCTATAAAAATAATTCTTTTGTGTAATATTATGATATGTCTATAGGAATAAATTCTGAACGAAATGCATATTTTGAATTGTGCAACAAAAAATTACGTTACATGTGACACGTGTTTGCTTTTGAAATAAAATTTGAAAAATTTATAAATTTTCTTGTTTTTTACTTTTTTATAAAAATCTTTTCTAAAAGTGGTTTGTATTACCATTTTTGAATTCTACTGACTATTACGAACAAAATGAATATACGGTTCAATAGTTTATCTCTACATACTAATTTTATACAGATATGTGATGATGTGGAGTAGTATGAGTGTAAATGAAGATACCTGGGCCCTATATATCTTCCTCTAACCACTGCCAAACCACGCACATTTCCTGTCGTAACCCAACTCTATTGCAAGGAATTAATCTAACTCGTCAAAGTGCACAATATTACCTTAGCTGCCTATCACAGCCAGCTTTTATGTTCTTAATGTATCTAATTATAATATAGTGAACAGAGAAATATATATATATGGACTTATTCTAATTTGTGAAAAAGGTAACTAGATTTAGCAAATGTGAATTCTAAATTTGTGATATTGATTGCCAGACCACGACCATTCGAGAACCTAATAAATTACATAATTTAATTACTATTTACCCTAACCTACACCCTTCCCCAACCCCTATATATATTAGCTAGACATCTTAGGCTACAACTACTTATCCGGTCAAGATGTACAGCTGCAGGCGGTCGACACACTACTACCCACGACTCTAATGGCTCGCCGCGCGTGGTTGCCGGACCGACTGCGCGCGCATCCGCGTCACGTGACTTGCGCTATTGTAGCGATTCGCTACAGATTTTTGAAGAACTCCCTTAAAATTCACCAAAATGAGCGTGCCACTCCACAAAGCACATACTGAAAATGGGTCTCGCCACTCCTAGGGTTAACTACAAATCGATTGACACCTTATTTTTTAAGATTGGACGAATATCAACTGAGATATGGCAGCTTTAGTGGTACATGACTACTAGAGGTTAGTTGCAGTGCATACCAAAGCATGCAGCTTAAGTTTGCCTGGTACAACCTATAAACCTGAATACTTTGTGCAAAGATTAGTCTTACTTGTCACTACTTACGTATGAACCAAGTTTCAAGTTAATCGCTTAAGGAATTCGAAAGTTATGGATTCATTTGTGAAAATCACATACAGACGGACAGCCGGAAAATGAGGCTCCGGCGACCCATGTTTATAATGTAAAATATTCTTGTATTAACCCAAGGAACAATCCTATGAATTTTTTTCGAGAGAGTTCAAAAACACCCTGTATGTTTAACCCTTCCCGGATGGGCGAAATTGTGACATAGAATGAGAAAAAAGTATAGGAAAAAATTAAAATTAATTTTCCTTATTTGAGTTTTGTTATACAAGTATACACAAAATAAACACAATGGAACACTTCATACTGTCAAAATAATTTTTTACTCGTTTTTAAATATGCGGATATATCCGCTACCCGTCCACGGATGAGTTGAAAAGCAGCGGATATATCCGCCACCCGTCTTTGAAGATATGACCATGACAACGTTATGCAATAAATAAAGAACAATATGTAAACAATAAATAAAGACAACGTAGTGTAGAGCGCAAAACGTCGAGGGGGGAGCGTAGGAGAGGTGGGTGGTGTGCGGGAGAGGGGGAGGAGTGGGAGAGGTGTAGGCGCGGTCAAGAGGGGGGAGTGTGGGAGAAAGCGCAGCCATGGAGAGAGCAGGAAAGTGGCGCCTTGGTACCGCGAAACATCTGGTTACTGCTCAAGCACCTGCCAGTCTGTCTGAAGAGAAGGCGGATATATCCGCTTCCCGTCCGTAACATCAAAAACCATAAGAGGATAAATCTGCCACCCGTCCTTTATCGCCAAAGACTTAGGCGGATATATCCGTCACCCATCCGGGAAGGGTTATTAATGTAAATTATGAGCGACAAATAAACATTTCATTTAATTTCATATCTTGCGGTCCTAGAGACATCACCATTGTCTTCCGCAATCATTGCATATTCTGAATATCTTCTATGTCATAGGAACGTCATTGCTGTCTTCTGCAGTCGCAGCAAAATCCGCTAAGCGGTAGAGGAAACAAAAGCGGTAATTTTGCGACCACACAATCTTTGCAGACACGTGTAGGGGATCGGTATCGGTAGAGACCTTAACAATCGATTACAATATTCATACCTATGTCCAAGTATCACAGGTACCAAGAACCAACACATGCCTAACAAAAACTAAAACTTGAAATTTGAAATTTAATTTCAGTAAAAATTTGCTTCTATCAAAATATTCCAAAAGTCTACATACCTCGGCAGAGAGATGGACCCATTCTTTGAAGAGTATGGCGGAAGCAGTGATAACTAGTGTTGTAAACATGACATAGTAGACAGGGGTAACAATGCCAGTATTGAACAGATCCAGTGCTTTGTTGAGATAGTTCATCTGTATAGAGATAAACACTACCACCAACACAAGGAACGACCATGTCAGCCAGTTACCCAACTCATTCTGGGAACCTGTAACACAAACATGATTTAGTTTTGTTCAATGAAAACCTCTAGGCCAGGATTTTGAATTGTAGAAGAAGGATAGCAGCTAGCTTATGCCTACCTTGAAAGTGTAGGTAGGCCATAGAACATCTAAAAGATACACTGTGCACACAATATTTCATTCTACCACTTTCTCTACACTTGGCAAAGTCCCTTAGGGGACGAAATATTGTGTGCACAGTGTATCTTTTAGATGTTCTATGGCCCACCTACACTTTCAAGGTAAGCCTAAGCTAGCTGCTATCCTCCTTCTTCTACAATACAAACATGATTTAGTTAATCTTGGATCTTAGGAGTTCGGGAGTTAGGTCTAGGTCTACTAACCTTGTGTTTGGTAGCCAAAAGATCAATTAAATGCTACCAGGAACCTAGTAACTGCAAAGGCTTGCTTGCACAGCAGTATAAGAAGTAACAAGATTTATGATCACTATCTATTAGACCCACTTTTATTTTGAACGAGATCAAGAAAAGGGTAACAGCAACTGCCTTAAAACTGCAAAGTAAAAGGCAGATAACTCTCAGGCGTTCTGAATCTTGAGGTAGAGCTAGCAATCCCTGACTCTATGACAGAAATCTTCAACTTCGACAGGTCATTCCAGGAAGACACAGAGCAGTAGCAAAAACGTGAGACAGCTACAGAAAATCCTGAATAACTTCATTGGTCACAAAAACATCATCTTCTGTGGCACAGCCAAGGCATGAATATTTGAATATTTCAATCGCACAATTTTAGCAGACTTGACAGCAGGTAATTTCACCAGTACACGTTTAGCAGACGCATTTTGCCATTGTGATATCGGAAAAGCTCGGCTAGAGCTTGATTTCTTTCTTTGAGCTCGATCTCAATCTTGTAGACTGGGCTCAAAAAATCAAGTCGCTCACAACTCTAATCTAGCCCTAGCTCTAATAAATAGCTAGGGACCTAAAAAATAAGTTAAGTAGTCCAGGAAAGGAAAGTAGGTTTCTAAAGATTGAAAGAATGTGAGGCAAGGAACTCGCTCACTATCTTGATTTGCTCCATACAACAATTCCTTGGTAAGAACAATGAACCCTTGTGTAGTTTTAGATAAAACTTATTGAATCTTTCTTTCATTTTACCTTTCATTTAAAAGTACAACTTAAATGTTCTCTTGGTAATAAACTCTTTGGTTTGAAACTGGACCCAACTGTCATTGACCACATGGTTAAATAGTCTTGGCTAAGAAAAATCTGATTTTAGGCTTAGTAATTAGCAAAGCAGCACTAATAATTTTACTCCATTCCATGCTCACCCTGCATTTACATTTTTTCCATTTTTCCATTTTGTTTGTGTCGAAAGAGCCAAAAACCCCTCAACTGCAACCCGGTACCTATAATTAAACATACCCGGGCCCCATGGTGTGACTGGCTCACCGGCTACCGAAGCAACCCTTTGGAAATAGGGTTGCCCCTCAAACCTAACCAGGGATACCGGTTACTTGGTCTTACCTCCCTCCAACTGGGTTCCCCCAGGGCTGAAACCCCGACAGACCATGATGGAGTCCATGGACACAACATAGTGCAAGCGACACTCGGGACCTATCTAATCCCTGACAGGCCATAACCCGCCATCAAAGCCAGGAGGAAGGGGACCCCAACCCCCTATTTACACCACTACCCGATCGAGGCCATCTCATTCGCTGGGAAACCAGGGATAACTAGGGCGATAGATCCCCAGATACCCCCAGCTGGCTTGATCCCAGCACCCAATCTACTTCGTTTGCCCATCTAACCCAACATCACTGCCGGGCCATCAGGGTTTCCCAAAAGGAGGCAGGTATAGAAGTGGGACCCACCCGGATGAACCTATCCACCAAAGGTGGCGACACCCTTAGCTCAATTGAGGTTCCATGGAGAACCCCACACTTTAGATAACCATACATTCCAGGCTCTGAGACAGGGATTGGCCGATGGAGTGCGCCCAGCTGTTGCCCTCACACTGTGGAAAGTTCCGTTACCCTAGAGTGTCCCCGTGAGCTTACGGGTTCTTGCCCGATTTCACCTCCAGGAAAGGCTACTTCCAAAGTCGAGGATTTGCCACACAAAATGTTGGTCGCACAAAGCAAGCAGGCCGAAGCCCATAGAACCATAGTCACAGGTAGATGGGAGATTGATGGCGCACTTCCACCTCTCCGAGAGCTAAACACCCCACCAACCTGGATGGAGGAATGTCACTGGAGGCTGGTCAGGGGAGCCCTAAGGGGCTGGCGCTACCCAGACATCCATGACTATGGCCTACTTGAAATGCTGATTCCAACACCGAACAGTTACCTACCCCTTGGGGGCTTGGCAATTGCCCGTCTTTCACCTCCCAGGAAGAGACTACTTCCAGAGCCGAGGATATGCCTCACAAAATGTCAGTCGTACACAACAGGCAGGGCAAGCCCATAGAACCACAGCCACAGGTAGGTGAGAGAATAACACTCTGAGAGCTAAACACCCCACCATCCTGGATGGAGGAATGTCACTGGGGGCTCTCCTAAGGGCTGGCGATCCCAGTCGTCCATAGCTGTGGCCTTACCTGAAGTGCCGGTTCCAACACCGGGCAGTTACCTCCCCTCTGGGGGCGCATTTACATTCAATTTTACATACCTTAAGTGTGCGTTGGTGATTAAGAACACTTACCAGTGATGGTCTCCTTGATGCCGAGGCCCAAGCCCTTGCAGGCCATCACGGTGAGAGAGCCAATGGCAGAGCAGAGAGCCACGTACACGCAGACATGCCTGTGACCATAGCGGGGACCAATGTGTAGTACGATCAATGTAGTCACTATCACAACCAGCAGCACGTACAATATGAAACCTGCACAGTATCAAGATTATGTTACACACTCCCTTCGTAAGCTTTGTGGCCAGTGTAATTCGAATCTAGTGGAGTTTTTGGCGTCTCAGATTAGCCACTACGCTCTTTAAAGGGCGTCTATTTCAGCTGCTAGTGTCTGGTAGGTAGCATTCTCAATTTAACGACGAATTTGGTGACTGAAACCAAGATAGATTCCAACTACTGTTCTCAATTATAACTAAAGTAGTTTGTTGGGAATGATATTGGGCGAGCTTTCTTAAGCGTATGAGTGTCGTCCGCCTGAAATTGGGCGATTGTGCAGGCACTAAGTTTTGTTCATTATTTTTACATATGCATGATCAATACATATGTAACATACAAATCAATACATATGTCGGCTTACTTATACCTTACACTAAACTGTTCAGCTAATTCAGGTCTTTACGTAGCTAATACGGACTATTATAGACGGCGGTTTAGCGATCTATTTTTATCGTTTTTTTTGTTTTTCACTGAAACAGGTGTTGTGAGTTTGCCTTGTGATTGATGATTTGTTTTTTTGTTGATTGCTGTGCGTAGTGAAATGTTAAAAAATGGGTGATGATCTCCGTTCGAGTGATGTGATGGATCTCTGTGACTTTTTTGTGATTCCTTAAGTAATTTAAAAGTGTTATTGATGATGACAATATTGAAGATGACTTTGATATTGAATTGAGTTTTTCACTCAAGCAAAATGGAACAATCAATGTAAATCTACAAATCTCATGCAAACAAAGAAAAACTCAGTGAAAATTGTAAACCGGTGTTAGTTGTTTCAATTTAATTTAATAAAATATGATAAATGTATGTCTTGAAGTAGCCTATCTTATTTTCCTTAAAGGCGAACCTAATCTATGTAATGTTAATCAAAAGTAATGCAGTTATCTTATTTTCAGAGATTAAATAAAAATAAGATGCTCTTTTATACATAAGGGTAGCTAAAAGCACACATGTATGTATTAAGTGAATTTATAACAGGTATCGGTATCGAGTGAAGAAACGAGAATCGAAACCAAAGGTCAAGAATCGGAATCAGTATTGGAATCGACCTATTCTGGAATCAGTCCATCCCTAATTTTCAATCAGATTTACAACGTATTTTAGTATTCTAACAGACAAATTACTACTGATAGTCATGGGTCTAGCATGAGCACCATTGCCTATGTTGTTCAGTATATGCTTTATGTGTCTAAAAAATCAACTCGGTGCCTAAAAAACGTTGAAAAAAGAGTTGTAAGCTTACTAACTTGCTTACTCACCAGGCTCTTGAAGTTTTAGCAAAAGTGTTTCCATGCTCTCAATTTCTTCTTCTTTAGGAGCGTGAATAACGATAACAGTAGACCCCAACACACAGAGAAAGCATCCAAGCTGTTGACAAAATATATGTAATTTGTTTTAGTATTAGATCACAATTTTACGAAACAATATACACACAGTTTGATAATCAAACCTATCAGGTGCAGAGATAATTTTGAGATCTATGGTTTTCAATAACTATCTTCATTTCTAAAATAGTGGGTAACGATAGGCTCAACAGTTCGGCCTGATGATACAACATAACTCAAATGTTACTCATATGATGTTGATGTTAACAGCTGTTTGTTACTCTTATTTAACACACTAAGTTGTAGTCGAGCTTCACAATCTTATCAGACTATCCTATACTAGATGTGATCTAGGATGAAGCTGTTTTTTATAACTGTACGAAAGAAAGGTAATATAGTCAACAAACACTACTCGAAAACTTATATTACAACAAAATTTCATCCTAAGACAGTGTTGCATACAGTGCATCTGCAGTGTGCAGTGTGTCTGCAGGCGTTGGCTTAAAGGTTGCAGAAGCCACAGAGAACGAAGATACAGAGGAAACATGCTTATGGAACAACTGTACGCTTTTAGCTCTGAAATTGTGGGGTGGAAATATACTAGTACCGAGCAAGGAAGAACCCGAACGGCTATTGTTTACAACAGCAGTTGTAGTGTACAGGCTCTTCCTACAGCGTGAGCGCTGTAGTAGTACGTCTTGGTGAGGGGGGAAAGGAGAGCAGAGGGGACGACCAATAGAATTTGAACTAGACACAAGCGACTGGTGCTAGAGATGACTTTAGTGTACCATCTGTATAATTTAAAAGACCGCCAAGACTGTACCTGTCATGGCGGGAGATAAGAAGGTTCCTAAGTGTGGAGCATGTAAAAATGAAGTTTCTGACGATGATGATGCATTGTTTTGTGATGGAAGTTGTGGAAAATGGTTTCACATGCATTGTGTGAATATCTCAATTGATGATTATAAAAAGATTGGTGACTTGAAAGATATTGTACTGTGGATGTGTGCAGCTTGTAAGAATGAGGTTAGAAAGGGAGTGAAAAAGATGTCATCCAATGTTAAAAGTAAAAGGATGGAAGATAATCTCTGTTGTGATTGTTTTAGTTACATACAGATTCTAACACAACAAATCTCTGAATTGACTGAAAGCTATTAACTTATGTCTGAAAATGTATCATTTATTCAGAACAGTACTACCGAATTGAAAAGTGAGGTTAGGACATTGAAGTGCAACTCAACTTTTGACAGTATATGGACTGACTCTACTAAGCGGTCTTTTAGTGAAATGAAATGAAAAATACTTTAATGAAATGAAAAATACTTTATTCCATCAAAAAACACAAACACAATAATTGTTACATAGCGTTGTACAGATGGATTATTCCCCACATAGGCACAGCCTGTGTGTGGGGAATGGGAATGAGCTTTACCAGTAGTCAAACATACAATGATACAATTAGTGAACAATAGTGAATGATACAATAGTGAAGTAATTAAATCATCAAGTAAGCCACTTTCACCTGTGCATGAAAAGAAGAGCTCTGTTAAAGGAAATTCTAGTTCAAGTGTAGGCCTAGAACCAAGAAACCCAGATTTAACTTCTAGGCATTTGGCTATAAGCGATGTGTCTAATTCCTCTGATCAAGAGTAATCTCGTAGATCAACGGTGGATGGGGATGGGTTTCAAACAGTGACTAACAAAAGACCTAGAAAAATGGGCCCAAATCTTAGCTGATAGGCCTAGTGATAATCAAGCAACCAAAGTGTCCAAGTTGGTTATGGGAAAAGCGAGCAACTCAAAGCTTTCAGTTGTGGATAGGTTATCATGGGTCTATGTAACACGTCTTGATCCTTCAGTAACAGAAAATGATTTAATTGATCATGTGACTAGCTTGTACAGTGATATTGAAGTTAAGTGTGAGAAACTTACGACTCGTCACTCTTCTTATAATTCATTTAAGGTTGGTTTCCATTTTCCATTTTTTTCCATTTTTCCGTTTTATCATAAGAGCCAGAAGCTCCCTGACTGCAAACCCGGTACCTGTAATTAAACACACCCGGGCCCCATGCATACGCACCGACCTTTGGCACACCATGGGAGGATGACTTAAGGTCATTAGTCTCACCGGCTGCCGAAGCAACCCTTCGGAGAGAGGGTTGCCCCTCAATCCTAACCAGGGATACCGGCTACTTGTTTAAGCGTCACTCCACCTGGGTTCCCCCAGGTACGAAACCCAGAAGGACCATAATGGAATGCCCTGACGCATTTAGTGCAAGCAACACTCGGGACCTATCCAATCCCTGACAGGCAGAACCCGCCATCAAAGCCAGGAAGAAGGGGACCACCAGCAAGCTGATACGGGGAACCCCAACCACCTATTTACACCACTACCCGATCGAGGCCTTACCCAGTTGATGGGAAACCAGAGGTGACCAAAGCGATAATTCCCTGAACACACCCAGCGGGCTTGAACCCCGCACCCGATCTACTTCGTTTGCCCATCAAGCCCAACATCACTGCCAGGCCATCAGGGTTTCCCAAAAGGAGGCAGGAATAGAAGTGGGTCCCACCCGGATGAACCTATCCACCAAAGGTGGCGACACCCTTTGCCCAATTGAGGTTCCAGGGAGAACCCCCCACACTCTAGATAACCATACCTTCCGGTCTCAGAGACGGGGATTGGCTGATGGAGTGCACACAGCCCAGCCGTTACCCTCACACTGCGGAAAGTTACGTTCCCCTAGAGTGTCCCCGTGAGCTTACGGGTACTTGCCCGATTTCACCTCCAGGAAAGGCTACTTCCAAAGTCGAGGATTTGCCCCACAGAATGCTGGTAGCATAGAGCAAGCAGGCCGAAGCCCAAAGAACCATAGTCACAGGTAGATGGGAGATTGATGGCACACTTCCACCTCTCCGAGAGCTAAACACCCCACCAACCTGGATGGAGGAGTGTCACTGGGGACTCCCCCTAAGGGGCTGGCGCTTACCAGACGTCCATGACTATGGCCTACTTGAAATGCCGATTCCAACACCGGACAGTTACCTCCCCTTCGGAGGCTTACTTGCCCGTCTTTCACCTCCCAGGAAGAGGCTACTTCCAGAGCCGAGGATAAGCCACACATAATGTTAGTCATACACATCAGGCAGGACTAAGCCCAAGAACCACAGCCACAGGCAGATGAGAGAGGCGGCAAGAAGCAGCATCACTGAGAGCTGAACACCCCACCAACCTGGATGATGGAATGTCACTGTGGGCTCCCCCGAAGGGGCTGGCACATCCAGTCGTCCATAGCTGTGGTCTACCTGAGTGCTGGTTCCAACACCGGGCAGTTACCTCAAGAGCCAGCTCTGGGGGTCCGCGTGGTCGCCAGGCCACGTACCCACGCAAGCATGGGCCCCCTGCGGGAATTTAAGGTTGGTTTGCCTAAACATCTCGTAGACGATTGTATGAAGCCTGACAATTGGCCTAAAGGATTATTAATTGGAAAATATTTTCCTCAAAGAAGGCCAAGACAGTTAAGTAACGATTCAAGTAAGCCTGTGAACGATGTCGTGTCAGAGTATTCAAAAAACGGGGGACAATGATGGTGAAATCGACACAGGTAAAACCTATTCCTATTTGCCTAGTGTTTACTTTTTTATTTCTTAACATTCAGGGATTGAATGATAAATTTGATCTCTTGGAAGATGAATTAATTAATAATAACTGTGATTTTGTTTGTCGGAACATTGGTACAACGATCCGGTTACTGACCTAACAATTGAGAGGTTTTAAATTAGTAGCTTGTTACCAGAGACATTCTCTTAAAAGAGGAGGGACTTTAATCTATGCTTCTGACAAATTTAATTGTGAGGTTATTGACCTTAGTGAGTATACCAAAGACAAACATTTTGAGATCTGTGGTATTGTAAATCATCAACATAGGTGCTGTGCATGTATCATACTCCAGATGATGATTAAAATATTTTCCTTGAGACATTAGAATGTCTTCTCTTCACTTTTAAACACCCCAAGTGGTTCAGTTACACTTTTGTGTTTGGAGGGGACTTAAATATAAAATTTGACATTACTCTTAAAACCAGCACAAGTGTCCAGCTATGTAATCTATTAAAGCAACACAACCTATACTTTCAAAACTATGACCAACCAGAGGTAAGGCATGCCTATACAATGTTTTTACTAACGCTAGGAGTGATGATTGTTTCACCGCAGTGGAACCTTGCTACTTTTCTGACCATTCTTCACTTTGGTTCCGGATAACATGTAATTGGACCACTGACAGACCATCTACTGAGCCTGTTTGCCGAAGGAACTTCTCAGAAGCAAACATCAGTAAGTTTAAGCACAAACTTTCTCAGGTCAGTTGGGAGGAAATGTATAATTTAGTCTTAAATAACTTTCATTGTAAAATGCTTAATGTCTGTGATACTAGGTTAAGTTTTGCTGAATCATATTTTGAACAATTTTTTGACACCTTTTGCTTAATATTTAAAGAATGTTTTCCTATTCGCAAAATTAGTCCTAAGAATCTGAAAAGAATAAAAAAACCATGGTATAATGAAGATTTGGCAAGGATAAAGCAAGAAATGGTTGTTGCTCTTGAAATTTTCCATTTAACTGGTGCGGAGGCTGATAAATTTTTGTATAACAACTTGCGCAAAAGGTACAAACATGAAATTTAAGAATGCCAAATTGAATTATGATGTCAAGATAATTGAAAATAGTAGTAATAAATGTAGGGGTGCATGGACAGTAATTAAAAATTTCCAGAATAGTGTTACAAACAACAGTGTGCCTATCAAACCAGACAGCATTAATAGTTTTTTTGTTGAATCTGTTAATAATATAAGATCCTCAATCAATAAGTCTAATTATTCATCTCAGGATTATTTATTACGTATGCCAGAGCCAACAGTTTTATTTTTTTACAGCCTGTAGAGACAAAAGAAGTTGAAAAAGTGATAGCAGGATTAAGTAATGCCAAAGCACTCTAGATTATTATGACATGTCAAACACATGATGTTATAAAGAGTGTGGGTAGTGTTATATCTAGTCCAATGGCCACTGCCATTAACCTTTGCTTTACGGAAGGTATTTTTCCAGGGATTTAGAAAATCTCTAAAGCCACCCCAGTCTTTAAACGGGGAGATAAGTATGATCCTTCAAACTATAGGTCTGTGTCTTTGGTGCCCATCTTGTCTAAGGTTTTAGAGAGTGTTATTTTTCAGCAAATCAACAGACACTTTGAATCTTTGAGTTTATTTACAGATTCACAGTATGGCTTTAGAAAATCACGAAGTACAGCTGATGCAGTAGCAGGCCTAGTTGAAAAAATTTATGAGGTTTTTGAGAACAAGGGCTTTGCTTGGGCCACTTTTTGTGACCTAAGCAAGGCCTTTGATTGTGTAGATCATGGCTTCTCTTGGACAAGCTGCGGCACTATGGCGTAGATGGGGTGGCTCTAAGCCTTCTCAGTTCATACCTCTCAAATAGGAGGCAAGTGGTCTGCGTGGAGGGTGAGCGATCTGCTACACTGGGGGTGGTATGTGGGGTCCCCCAAGGGTCCATTTTGGGACCATTTCTTTTTTTAGTGACCATTAATGATCTGCACAGTAATGTCCTTTGTAGTACCTACTTATATGCAGATGATTCAACCTTTTTGTCATGTGGACCTGATATAGAACAGCTTTCTGATGATGTTGATGTGGCAGAGAGTAATTTTACTGACTGGTTTGCTGCTAATTCATTACTTTTAAATAATGAAAAGACAAAAATGTAATATTTAGTCTTAGAAGTGTACCTGATATATTAGTTTCGAATGAGTATGTTCTTAGGAGTCATAGTTGATAAGCAATTATCTTAAACCCCACATATTGAAAATCTGTTAAGTCGTCTTTCAAGGGTTATATTTCTGTTCAGTAGATTAATTCATTGTGTACCTTTTGATTATATTAAGTCAGCCTATTTTGCACTATTTCAATCATTAGCAAGCTATGGTCTGATGTTCTATGGTAGTTCAAGTAAAATTCAGGAAGTATTGTTATTACAAAAAAAGGTTATTAGAATAGTTATGAAGGCTGATAGATTAGCACACTGCAAACCGCTATTGAAGTTTGGTGTCAACAACAGTAAATTTGTATATTTTCCAACTTTTATTGTTAACCCACAAAAATAGGGACAATTATGATTGTAGAAATAATATACATAGTTTTAGCACTAGAAACTGTAGAAAAATAAATGTACCACAAGTTCGTTTAGAAAAAACTAGGTCCGGACACATTGTTATGGGCATTAGGTTTTATAACCGATTACCAACGGCTGTGATTTGTTTACATGACAAGATTTTTAAGAGATAAGTGCATGCATTCTTAATAAGTAACCCACTCTATAATGTAAAAGAATACTTTGATTTGCCTCATAATTTATTTAATGAAATAGCATAGGCCCTAGAGCATTATATATAGACATATTTTATATTTTTCTAGTTTTTTTGCAATCTCTCGCCATGTACACTGTATTATTGTATTTTTATATTTCATTGAACCTCAGATTATGTCTTATATTTTTTAGGTAGGCCTATTCATTGAATATGTGTCGCATACAATTGTATGAAAACAACTTGACTTGGCCATGCATGTAAAAATGACAAATAAACGTCTTATGTCTTATGTATCTTACTATCTGTATCTTGAATGTTTCCTCTGTATCTTACTTCTCTGAGTAGGAGCACACTATTGCTGCTCATGACGGATATCATAATTATGTAGTGATAAAACTTTAAAATACCCTTAAGACCCTACTAAATTACTCTTATATTTCTTTAATGGCCTATATTTAAAAATTATATTTATATTTATTATATTTAAACAGCTAAACAGCAGTGATAGCTTGATTATGTAAAGGAAGTTATGAAATTGGCCCATCAGCCAGCCTAAACTCATTGAGTCTTTAACATTACAAAAATTCAATGTCGCACTATTCCATAGGCTAAACTTTTTTTACATCTTATGTAGCCTATTTTATTTTGACTTTTAAATCCATAACATCCTGTATTTCTAACTGCTGTGTGTATACAGCTGTTTTCTTCAGTTTCTTAGAAAGACTATTTATTTACTCAAAGTGACATCATCTAGCATCCTACTTTACTGATAACACACAGTTATCAATAATTCCATTTTTATCTAACATTGATAACATAACTCACATGATGTGACAAAAGTCTAAGATCTCTTCATTTAAGTTTCATGAAATTGCTGTGCATACTATTTCATTACATAATAAATGTTGTTACAGATGATACCGGTGGGCCTACTTCTACCTTTATTTAATTTTCAATGGCAAGTTGTGTTGTTTTAGTTCAAACTAAATCATACATCATGGTAGAATATTCATAAATGGAGCCCTGAGACAAGAGTAGATCTAACTTGGATGATTGTGCCAAAAAAAGTTGGTAGCCTAGCTAATGTAGGCCTAAATTAAAATTTAGCAAATGTATTCATTCATTCATTCATTTATATACTATACCATTACATTTTACAACAAAACACTTATTTCTTTTCCTGTAGCAGCAAAACCTTTTAAATTGTAAATATTTTAGTACAAATCCGATCAGACAAATTAAAAATCTCTTAATCTACAGGTTTGCTGTGGCAGGGGTGTTTTTCATAAGATGTAGGCTCTGAAACCACCAGTTTGGTATAAAAACATAGTTAAAGCTATTTGGTGATTACATGGGATATGAGCCTGAACCTCTAGAAAAGAAGTTATCCGCACTAACTACTTAAGCTGTATTTCGTTCCAATATTTAGGTGGTTTGAGGGAAAGTTTCCCACCACTTTTTTTTGTATTTAATGTGTGTTGCTTAATCAGCTGTTGAGCTATTATTAAAGGTAATAGGGTCAAGTGGAAGGGATGGATTTCTTCCCCTCAAACCGCCTAAATATTGTGAACGAAGGATTGTAGGATAGCCACACCCCAGGATCTAATTTAATAATATTGCATTTAAAAAACAAAACCTTACCTTCCCTAGCAGGTTGAGTTTCTCGTTAAGGAACTTTGACGCCAGAACAGACGCCACAAGTACACTGAGGGCTCCTAGAGGTGTGACCAGTGACGCCGGGGCGAATGCGTAGGCAGCGAAGTTGGCTGCTTCTCCGATGCCCACTATAACCACCAGTTTTAGTATTAGTGTACATATTTTTGTAGCGTACGCTAATGTAAATCAATATCTAAGGAAACTCATTAGTAAAAATCAATTGTTCTTGAATAAAATCAATTACGTTACATTTTTTATTACCAAATAAGGGGATTTTATCACACTAAGTAGATTTTAGTAGACCTATATTTAGATTTTTTAAATCTTAGGTTAGGTTAAATCATATATATGTTTGTAGGAATTTTCAGACGAGTCATCACTCAAGACACTGACCCAGATACAGGCGGTGATGTGAGCGCTCCGGTCAATGGCCTGATCTTGGGCTAATTGGAGGGTATTTGGCGGGCGAAAGTATGACTCATATGGTATCGTCCGATTCATAACGAAACTAGGAAAGTCCTACAAACATATTTAATACCTCAATACTTTTCATTGAAATGGCGACCATACAAAGTAGGGTATTTTAAGCCAAGTATGAATGGAGATGAGTGTAGGATGACCTACCTATCTGCCGCAGCGCGCTGTATTAGTGTGACCACTGGATAGTACCAAAGTACCTATCAATGTACCTATCAATAAGAATAGGCCAATAAGAGCACCCTCATAGATTCTAGATCTTAACTTCTTACGGCATGATTTTCTAATTTAGGACATTAGAGCGGCTATGTCCACATAGTCATCCTCTCTATGTGTATCCTCTTCACATCTCTACCTCTTCGCCCATCAACATAGAACTCCAGGACTTCATTCTTTGATCCATAACAGAACTCTATTGTGGAACTGTGAATTTACTAGTCATGTAACGCATTGGCGGATTGGTAGGAAAACACTTTTGTGCTGTGTCCTATTGTAAGCCACGCTGATAAGTACCAACCACGCTGCGTTCTTTTTAATCGCAAAGCTTGCAGCATGGGGTTACTGACGTTGAAAGAAAACGCAACTTGATATAAACTGTCAAATAACACTAGGTAGGCCTAAAGCTAACAACGGAGAAAAGGTACTAACTTGTGATCAAACCAGCCCACCAGACCCATTCTTTCAGATATCCAAATCCACCAGCTCCAGCTCTTAATAAACCATTGCGGCTCAATCGAATAAGAGCTAGTTTCTTGATTATAAAACTGGAACCTACAACACAATCAAACAACAAACTTTAGTTAACTCTGTCTAACTTATTTTTTTTTAATTTGATGTGAAAAATACAAATTTAGGCTAATTAGATTTGATAAAGACAATTTGCATATTTTACATTTAATTTTAAGTTAATGGTCCTTTATAGCTTTTACTATAATAGCTATGTAACTATACCTTGATACAACAACTACCTATGATCTGTTGTTAGAAAATTATGTTGTTACCGTAACTTAAGTTAACAGCCCAAAGACCAATTAACAACAGCTAGCCTACCTATCTATTATCAAACCAAACTGCATCAAAGTGCACTCCGTGTTATTGTTCGTTATCAACCACTACAAATCAGTTCTTATCGTGATGGTCAGTTACTCGAATGTAACCCGTTTCTATGTAGGCCTAACGGTTGCAAGTTCTCATTAACTTAATTTAAGTTATAGGTTAGGTTAAGTTAGCCGACTTAGTTTATTAAGGTTAGGCCTAAACTTAGTTTAGTTTACTAACTTTATATTCTGGCAAAACATTTTGTGTTTTAAATAGGCCTATATATATATATAGGCCTATATAGGATTATTTGATACGGTATATCTATAATTCAATTCAGATGATTAGGTTAGGTTTTAACCTAACTAGGCCCTAACCAAACTTGAAATTAACTTATATCAAATGAAATAGGTATAATCTAACTTATATCGATCAATATATTCATTCGAATGAGTGTGAGACGTAAGTTAAACTAAAGTGCAGCCAAAATGCAGTCTGTTTCCTGTTAGGAGGAGGAAATAAGCTACCTTGAGGGGATGAGCGCGAACTCATAGGCTAGGGGTAGGCCTATTCACTACAGACAAAAACACCTAACTCTACTTGGCTGCACTTTACTTTAGGTCCTACACAAACAACCGAATGAAAATATCGATTATTCGATTGTTTCATTCGATATATTGTTTGGTTAGTTAGGTTAGGTTAACCTTAGGTACCTAACTAACCAAACGATAACTTATATCGAATAATCAATATATCGATCAATATTTTCATTCGAATGAGTGTAGGACCTAAAGTAAAGTGCAGCCCTCTACTTTTCTACCAAATTAAGTTTGATAACTTTGGCCTGCTAAAGTTAACTATTACCAACTGATAATGATCAGCCTAATTTTACAAACAAAAAAAAACTCCTTAAGCTTAGCCTTATTGAATAATCTACACTTACCAATAAACAAACTGGAACTTAGTGCCAAGCCCAGTCCAATATAAAACTCTGTGCTTGTAATTAAATAGGTTGTTAATACAGGTTGTTTCGGAGACATTTTACAGAATAGAATTATAAGATATAGTATAGGCCCTAGGATATAACCAATATTAAATCAACTGTGTACTAAACAGGACTAGGCCTACTCATCCTACACGCCCAATATCATTCCGCACATAAAGATGAATCACTGACTTAGTAAAATCTCTTTAAGGCACAGATAACAATTACGTAATGGATGACAAAGTCAATAAGCTACAGAGCAACTCATTCTGGCTGTATGTTCACTGATTCAAGGTCTCTTCCTCTTCTGAGAACTGAGAAGACTTAGAAGTTGAGGTTAGGGTTAGACTCTTATAATGTTTCTTGTTGGTTTATTTTATTTGACAGTCTGCAGCTAGGCTAGGAGTTTTTTTTTGTGCTCGCTCGCTCTAGCTGTCATGGCCAATGGTAGCATGATAACAGAACTGGAAATCTAAAGCCATCATAAGCAGGTTTCATTATTATGCATGTAGCTGTAAAAACACCAAATTAACTACTAACGTACTGTACATAATTTATATTTTATATTGAATTGAGTACAGTCAAAATATTTAAAATGTTTTTCCCAAGGAAAGATTCGGGGTGACACAAACATCTTATCAACAAGAGCTCAGGCAACAACAAAAAAAGTAAATTTAATATAATTTAAGTTCTAGCGACTGGGATATAAAAAATATTTACAAATTTTTGTCACGAGGACACCTGAGTAATAATACTTTAATTAATTTTGCTGTTTAAATTCTGTAGTGTCTACAAAAAAAAAGAAGCGGTATAAAAGTTAATTTTAGTTCAAATTTTTACCCACAAGGGAAATCGTGGGCGAGGGAGGAATAGCGGCAAATTGCAGCCAACTCACATTAAATCACGCAATGGCGGACACAAGGGATTATTGTTCTTCTACACAAGGGGTTTGGTTTACAGGTCTCAAGAAATCTTATTTCAAGACCAAAACATTGCGGACATACTATGTACTGTATCTGTAACAGTACCGTGTTTTTATTCAGTTTTCGAAATATTTCACAAATAACGCCCAACATATATATGATTTTTACGTATGTTTGTTTGTTCCAAGAGCAAAAAATGATCTGTGGACTCAGCTAAAATGTCACACGCACATACTGTACCGAGAATTAGTATATTTGACAATTCCCGGTCGCCGGATCGACATTGCCCTAGAGCTCTGCACTAGGGGCTCAAATAAGCTCTGAGATGTGATTTCTTGCCTATTGGGAAAAAAGCATTTGGCCAAAGCCAGAATGACGGACATAACACCCAAGCACCCACCCCTCATGGATCGTCTTCCTTTCCGACCCTTCCAACCAACTGCTTGGTTGTGGGCAGTTTAAGCAGCATACTTTTTTAAACGTTAATAACAATTCAAGTATTCTTATCGCCTTAGCAGCTAGCTTTCGACAAAATAAAACTACGCAGCATTCTCAATGTTGTGGTGGTCTTAGTTTTCAGTATCTAGAATTAATTCGGCTATTGCAAACACGATTATTAGGGAATCGATAAAACCGATATAGAGAAACAAGTAAATATAATATAGCCATTGAAATAAATATAATACAACTTTATATAATATACTTCGATGGTTTAAACCAGCAAGTTAGTACATACGCAAAAACCCTCACATATTTTACATTTCGCGTATGGTGTTGGCATGTTGCTATAGACCTTGATCTTAAATTATTGTAAATAAATAAGTATACTGTAATTTAGGTACCCGTACTAGTTATTTTGAATCTTCGGAACAGATTATGTTTGAGATTTGTTAAGTCTTATTGACAAACAACTGTAGTAGTACTCACAAGGATCGTATGGGTCATACGCATCAGTACCAGTGTAGGTGTAAATCAGAACGAGGTAAAATAATATCTCACCCCAAATAAAATCCCAGCCCCAGGGTACATCAAATATGGCACTCCTCATGTTCCAAAACAAATGCTCCTTAAGGAGTGTTAGAAGTTCTCTCTGAATACTGTGTTCTACCTGCCTTTTGTGCGTAAATCATATGTTGTATTAATTGTTAATCGTCTATTTACATTACTTGTTTAAATTTTATCAGTTTTGTGCTCAACCATGTTAATAAACCATCTATTGTTTATCAAACAAAAAATGTAAATAGAGTATTAACAATATAATAAAACATAATGATTTGTTTGAAAGACAGGCAGAACATAGTATTCAGAGAGAACTTACCATCTCTTGAATTTGATCTTTTTATTGTATCAATATTACTATCTATCATTAACAAGGAGGCAGAATTCTTAAAAATAAATTATCACGTCATCACAAGGATAGTATAGATCAAATGCAGTAATGTAGGTGTGTACAACAGAGCGTGGTGAAACAATATTTCACCACAATCAAAGCCTAGCCACAGGGTATGTCGTACAAGTATCGTTGAATCCTTTAACAGCTTACATGGGTACTGCCTTACCATTTATTAGCAAAAAAGATGGAAGCAATTTTTCACTTTTATAGTTCTACTTTTTAACAAAGGGGTTTAACTGAACACTAATTTATCAGTAGGTGCTGTAATGATAATATTAAGGTTTACTTTCTTCTGCTGGATTCAACATTTTTGACTCTACAACAAACCATGTTAAAATTTACGTTAGTTTAAATCGACAAACCTACGCTCACCGTAGACAGTAAAGTGCACTTCAACATTATGCTGTACAACACATTACAATTCACCGCAAATTATTCAGACAGATTAACCCACTCATAGGTAAGGAATCGCGTAAAAGACAGGGTTTATACCAAATCGGACACCTAGCCTTGGTTCATTGTACAGACTACAATTATTAATAATCTTTATCGGCGAACTGTCGAAGAGGCGGCCAATAAAACGTAGGATGGTGATTATAAGTCAATATCCATAAGGATTATACTATCATGGCTTTTATCAATTATTATACAAGAAATTATTGTAGACAGCAAATATTTCAAACTTTTTAACGTCCAGAAATCCTTTCATCCACAACATTCGCAGTTGGGTTGTTACTGCGCCGTGTACTGTGGACTTCTTGTCAGTAATGTCCCCAAATCCTTACATCCCCACACAGTAGAGATGCTACAACATGGACTTGGACTCAGTAATGGCTCGGAGGATCTTCACATTATCAGTTCTGGAGGGGGCAATAATTGCACTTATTAAGTGGTTAGCTCACGAAAACTGGTCATCAGCAGAGAGATGGGGAAGGGTGCCCAAATGATACCGACTCCTCTGGCACTGTAGAGATGCTCTTCTTACGTCTAATTATACACGTAATTGATATAAATGTAGGTTCGATTGGGAAAACGGCCGAAAACCTAAAATGCATTAGTAATACACGGTTATAGATGGTCGTAAAAGGATAGAAGTGTCGGTTTATTGCTAAAAAATTCATAGATGATGGTTTCGAAATCCGAGGTATTTTAAAATCACAAGTTACTTTAAATACTGTACTTGATGTTCTGTTACGGGTGAGCAAACTTTTTGCTTGAAGTACAAAATATGTTCCTGCGAGAAAATACTAGTAGTTTTCCGTACATGCAGTAAATGTTACCATAATAATCCAGTTTCTGGATACCAAGCAAAAACTATCTTGTATTGTGTAACAATCCTGAACATCTCAAAATAATTTGATTGTTGTAAAACTCTAGTCCAAACCTAACCTAACAAATAAACTAAACTTATTGATACTACAAGCTCATAAAACCACATTGACGGTGGAACGGTGTTTTTGTTAGAAAAAGTGTCACATTAAGACTTTGAAAACTTAAAATCTTTCGAGGATATGTTAGTCTGATGTTGGTTTCAATTTTATTGAGCTCTTATTCTTCATGATTGTGTAATTTATATTTTAAAGCATGGGAAACTTTTCACACGTAACGTAAAAAGCGGAATGCTTTACGCTTGATTGCGAAAGTAAAATTTTTGGTGGAGAAGTTGTATCTTATCTGGACAAAAAAAAAACGTATTGAGGCTTCTCAGTAGATAGTGAGAGGTTAATAATCGTGGGTAAGTTCATTTTTTCACATTCCCATTTTCCAAATGCAACCGAAAAACTCATCATCTGTGTTTTGCATCCACTGCTAATGGAAGAACCTCCTTACAACTTGAAAAATGTCTTGATTTGTCTCTCCTTCCTTAATGTTCCCACAATTTGGGATTGTCGGTCGGCGTCAATGATGGCAAAAATGTTGATTGATCATAAAAGCGCGAATTATATCCCCGAATCGAGTCACGTCAACTATAATTTTTATCTCCGGCCCCCTTTGAAAAGCGATATAAAACCTGTGCTAATGCGCCAGTGTCATCGGCAGTAGTTTTATGAGCTATTGACTCAGGAACGTTGTCCGACTGCAGGGCTGGCTTTATAGACTTGGGCCCAGAGTACGTCCGCTGCCGCTGTTGCCGTTGCTGCCAAAGATGTTGCTAATTCTATTGACGTTGCTTCTATTGCTGCTGATTTAGCTGATGACGTGGTGTCTGTTGCTAGTGTTGCTTGCATTTGGTGAGTTCATTGTTGATGTTGCTGTTGTTCTTATTGTCAGTTGAAGATGCTGCTGCTACCAACATCTTCTATTGCTGTTACTATAACTGTTCATGCTGTTCATGCTGTTGTTTCAACCACTGTTGATATTACAGCTGATTCCACTATTGTTGCTTGTATGCCTACTGATGCTGTTGTAGCTGGCAATTTAATTTCTGTTGTTGCTGTAACTGAACAGTTGTTATTACACATTCAATTGATTATGTTCTGCTTCGTTGTTGTTTTTCATGCCGCTGCGTCAACCGATGCTATTACTGCTTCTGATTCTCCTACTAATTTTCCTGTTGTAGAAGGTAATTTAATCGCAGCTGTTGTTGTCACAGTTTGGCTCCTGTTTCTACTGTAAATTATGTTGTTTCTAGACAGGCTTTAGATTCTGCTATTGTTCTCATCGGCTTTGTCTGTGTTGTGGATTTTGCTCGTTCCACTGCAGTAGCTGCTGTCTTTGATTGATATAAAATATGTGTATATATCCACTGTCTATAAGTACTGAGTTAATACTAATGAATATTACAGATGACAACCGCCCTCAAGTAAAGTACTTTCAATCCTATTAACGATGATCTAAGTAATTACGTTGTTGAGAGAGTTTTTAAGTGAAAAAAAAAAACATATAAATAATTAGATTGTTCAAGTCGGATTGTTCCAGTGGCGTCAGCAGCAATGCAGGATCCGGCCTGAAAGGACCACAATAGGCGTGAAATGTGAGACCCGAGCGTTGGGCGTCTCTGGTTTGTAACGGCA